AAGGTCTAGCTTCAGTGAGAAGAGGAACTAAACCAATAAATGCAATCCCTTTGTCAACAGCAGCTACCCCTTTGAACCGTGGTTGTATGGCTTTTGGTTTTCTGCTACTTTGTTATTTAAAGTGCATCTGTAGATTTAGGCTTTATCATCATCTGTCTCTTACCTTGCAACAGTCTCGTTAGCTTTGAGTCTCTGTAGGGAACAAACCCACCCTTTTTATTTTCGTCACCAAGAGCACTAATCACATTCCCCAGGCAGAGGAGACCTCTGTTTATGTTGATGCCTGCATACAAACAGATGACAGCGAGTACAGCCACCTCAGTAGCTAGGAATTGGTCATTTCCTGTCCTTATTAAAAAATTTTAAAAGGTTAAAAAAGGACATTATAAGGGTTAAATAACTGCTTTGCTTTTCCTGACAAAGACTCAATTAACTCAAAAGTGGCAAGAAACCCAAGCTGTACCAGTCCTTTTCCTACAGACCTTCTTTTAGTCTGTCTCCCTCAGCCTTGGTCTTCTTTTGTCTCTCAGAGCCAGCAAGATCAACCAGGTGCAGCTTGGAGTGAAAACTGCTGTTCCTGTGGCAGAAAAACTATTTTACTCTCTCAAGTAAACATGCAGTTAGGAAAGAGGCAGTCCAGTAGTAACTACAGTTGAGCCACTGGGCTGAAAAATATAATTCATACCAGAGACAGCCAAATAAAGAAACTGCCTCAAGAGTAGGTCAGCTGAGTTCATCCAAGACCAAGAAAGAATGACAGGACTACGACTACGAAATAAGTCTGACTCCGAACAGCTGCTAGGAGTGGCTGCGTGATCACACTTACTTGTCATTTTTCTTTTTCTGATCAATGCAAATGGTGAAGATGGCATGGGACCGTGAGGACTGGGAGTTCATTGCCGTGGAGGCCACCGTTCTGGCATTGTTCCCTTGCTCTAGGCAGGATACAGTATCTTGGGCACAGGTGACATTTCTTTCTGTTAACCCTACAATCTGTATCCAGGAAGAAAGCATCATTTATCCTCTCCTCCCTCTTCACCCCGACTTACATCAGAAAAATTATCCTCTGTCTTAGACTATGGCAGACAAAGTGAAGTCTCTGTGAAGGAAAGCATCATTTATCCTCTCCTCCCTCTTCACCCCGACTTACATCAGAAAATTATCCTCCTGTCTTAGACTATGGCAGACAAAGTGAAGTCTCTAAATACAAATACGCATTCACAAGAATCAGAGTCTCACTTCAAGCCAGAGGCTTGAACCCCCTAGCTGCCCTCAGATATCCCCTGGCCAAGCTGGGAGCTGAAAGGGGAAACTGGCTGAAGGTGGTGAGGTATTTTTGTGAACAGAGCGGAGGAGAGGCAGGTATTAGGGACATAAAGGACAGAGGGGACTGAGTAGTAAGGACTAGTCGTGCTCCTTGGCAAGCTTGCGCTTTCCCTGAAGGGCCTGTCTCCCTGGATCACAATGCCACTACTAACGCATGGATGAGTCGCACCCCAGTACTTTAGAGGTGACAGTGAGCAGCACAAGATTACACATAACAAACGTTAACGGATCAAAGCTACAGGTGTCACACACACCTAAGCTGCACGTATGACAACCAACAACCTACCCACCACCGCAAACTGAAACTGTGCGAGTGAAGCACAAACGATGGATGGACGTTTAACTACAAAACAAGTACACAGAGCAAGCAGTAGCACAAGGTTTTTCTGCACTACGCTATAAGCACACATCTGTACAAAACTGCTAAGAAAAATAACATGGGCACTTAAATAGTTTCCCCTCAGGCTCCCTTTGTTGCATGCTACTTCTGCCAAACTGAAGAGTACAATTGCAACAGAGTTTGAAATTTGGTAAAGGGACCAACTGAAGAGTACAATTGCAACAGAGTTTGGGTCCCTTTACCAAATTTCAAAGTACAACATTCTCAGATATTCACCTAAATCAGCCTTCAAAAAAAGTCACAATAGGACTTGTAAGCAGCTTTGTCATGAATGTCTAGCCTACTGATGTTACTCTGAGTAAACTTATGGATCATCAACAGCTCAATTTTGAGAGAAATGAGTAGTTGTGATGATCTCATATGCTCTAATATAAAGCAGTGCTCAAAGAGTCGGACATTTGTTTCACTGAAACATTCGTCCTGAGCCATGTCGCCCCCTTATATACCCATATCTAACAGGGCAACAAACCTTTATGCCTTCTTTTGGATCTTCCCGTATACTGATTTGGGAAGACCGTTCTCTTGATGGGCACAGCAGGTCTAGGATATCCTCATTGTAGATCTGAAAGCATCAGAACAGCAGCTCAGAGTTAGCAGCCGTGCAAGGGAACAACTTGCATGAAGAAAGACTGAAATCATGGCTAACTCTGCATGACATTCTGTTCATTTTACCTTTAGAGAAAGATACCTAGGACTCAGAAACCAGTTCCTGACAGGACCTTACGTAGTCTTAGGTTTTGATTTAATAAATACCTATCGCTTGAAGGAGGTGGCCTCATTAAAGCTCACTTTATCTGTAATTCATAACTTTATAATAGTTTGAAAGTCAAAACAACTTTTACCTCTAGATAAGAAACTCTGAGGATGAATTCCCAATCCTGCCTTTGCTCCTTCTCCTTAAATAGCAGTTTGATTACCCGAGGGATGACCCCCACACTAGGTTCATGCTCTTGATTGGCAGTGTAGGTACCTCCCATAGAGTATGTTTTTCCAGATCCCGTCTGTCCGTAGGCTAAGACAGTAGCATTATACCCTAGGGGAACAAAGGGTGCCTGGATCAGACGGCCACGTGGGAACCAGAAGAAACTTTGATGAACAAAGCTGCATTTTAGTAAAAGCATCCTTCCAAAAAAGCCCTGTCCCTCACTGTCGGTTTACACAACCTTTATGCACAGGTCACAGTTAGCAACATCAAGGAAAAAAAAGTCAATGAAGAGCTCCCCAAAGCACAGAAAAAAAATTATTATTCCAGCTCTTTTTTAAGTCTGCTCTGTTGCTTTACTAGAGTTAGTCATAGAAACGCAGTGTATGCTCTTTCTCCTCCCAGCTCCACTGTAGCATCGGTAACAGCTTCTGGCATAGGATGCTTATCAATTCATCTTATTACTCTCGATAAAATTCTCTTGCCTTACGTAAATAGCTTCAGGAACCAAAATGACCCAGTAAAGACACACAAGCCATTTCGATAGCCCTATGGAGTACAACAGGTTGTAAACGGTTAAGATCTGGCACTTCTCACTAGAGGCTGGAGTCGGTGTCTAGATAACACATAGGATTTTATTTTCTGAGAAGATCAAAGAAGAAATGAGTTGGAATGGAGAATTAAACAGCACAGCACCACCTTCCACACAGCTGAGCCCACCGAAGTCCCCAGTATCTTAACACGGAGCTTGACCTCAGTTACCACAAACCTTTGAAGATGCCCCGTATGAGAGGGGCGACAGCTGTGCTGAAGACTTCCTCCTGCTCAACAGAAGGGTCGAAGACATAATCATACGTGAACGCCTTATCGTTACCCACGACCACCTGCGGAGGAGAGGAGAGGAGAACAGACAGCGCTGACTACACCGCCCCAGCAGCCCGGCGGCGAACCCCGGGGCAGAGGGGGAGGCAAGGCCGAGCCCCGGGCGCGGAGGGCTGGCTCCTTTACTTGCGGTTCCCCCGGCACGAAGGACAGGCACATCTGGCACCCTTCGCCGGTCTCCTTCGGCACCAAGGGGCGGCAGCGCAGCGCCACGCGCACCGGGATCACCTTCTCGTCTTCCCTCACCATCTTCAGTCGCCGCGGCCGCCCTGCGGAGGAGCGGAGCCGGGTGAGGCCTCGCGGGAGCAACGC